ATTTACATTACCATGTTAGTAATGTAAATACATTTCAACTTCTATTTTGATAATAAAAACATGAAAATCCTATTATATTAAATTTTTAATATTTTACTTTACTCTAGTCTTTTTTCAAAATAGCGAGGGAAAGAAAAATAAGGAATGTACGCTATAATTTGGGGTATGATAGCATGAGTGAGTTTTCATGTTTTAATAACTAAAGAGTTTTTTTTTTATATTTCACAATAAATAAACAGAGTTAATGGTACATGGACTCTACTGCACGTCTGCACGTCTTTGTGTATTCATGTGTCATTGTGTGATTTAAAAAAAAAGTTTCCTTTTTTCTTTATTAATTCTCAGAGACTTTAAACATTATATGAATTCTCTTAAATTTTAAAAATTGACTAATGCCGATTACCGTTGCACAGTTGGCAAGACAAAGAGTGTCAAGAAGATAAGACATCAGTTCAAGTTCTGGCAACTGCGGTGGGAAGCAACTATGTCAAGATACAGTCTCTGCAAGTACCAGGTGCATACTCCACTCTTTGTCACGAATTCTAGAGAGATGAAGTTCGGCCGCCTTCATTTGCGGGTTACACAAGTATTTATAGGAAGCTATAGGAAACAAGGCGTTGCGCACCCACATCAGACCACGTTGAATTCAGCCGTTATCGTCCAACCTCCCTGGATCCTTTCGTGCCGGCACTTCCCAGCCATAGAAACCCTACACGTTAGGTTTACGCATGATGGGTAATGTTTGTGGAGATTGGAGATGATAAAAACAAGCTTCGTAATTTGACTAGTAAAAGAGTCGAAGCATACCGGTTGGCTTTATGACACCGACCGGTATGAACCATTGTCATTTAGGTTTTCTATTCTACTATTTTTTTCGTTTGACTAGTCAGACGTTGCGGACCCAATTAACCATGGTGGAATACACCCATCACCTTCTATTGACCAAGGCCCTACTTGACATCAGTATTATAGATTAACATTAGTGTTTTGAAAAAACTATTTGACAGTAACTTTTAGCATTTTCAAAAATTAATCTCATAAATTGTTTATTCAAAACGCTAACACTAATCGTAAATAATATTTCAAGTAAATACGATCGTTTAACTTGCATAAAAATAGGGGGATATGAAATCCATGAGATCCATGTAAGAAGGGGACAACATAATAGGGGGGTTCTCAATTATTCTTTGTCATCACGTTTGGTCACGCACCTCTTTTTTTTTTTTTTCTACATATTCTTAATGAGGAATAGTTAATCATCAAGTCATGCGTAGATTGCGGTAATGAGAATCGGAGTGGGGTGTGGGGCTTTGGTGTTCGGCATAGGGCAAACTACTACTATTTGGATTTTGGATAATCAATTTTTTCCTGGATCTTGGAGAGTATATATTTGTTTAGTTTTCTTTTTTTTTTTTTGAGTATTTTTCTTTATTTCATTATATTCTTTAATAGACATTGTTAATTAACAAGGTATGAGGTTTGGAGTATACGCTCGTTCATCGGTATTATGAATTTCTTAATAGAGATTCGGGGACGGCATCTCCGGTGGGAGGATCCAAAGAGCAGAGCCCCAGGCTGGGATCCAAGTCAGCTTGGAGAATTTTTATAATAGTCACACATTTGGAGAGGGCCTTAAAATGGGTATGGGATTGGGGGGGCAAGGGTGGGGCTGAGCGGGGTTTTTAGGGGGTTAATTAGAGTGTTATGAACGATCTATTTTGCGAATGGAGCACCGAAAGTACTCTAAAATGCAGTTTCACTGATGACCAGTTTCAACGAAACCCCATCCACTCAGTAATTAAAATAATGAGTAAGTATCTATGCAAATATTTTTTTGTTAAAACATTTCGACCATTCAACTTTTATTATCGTATGGTAGTATATAAAGAAGACATCTTAATACTCTATCCGTTCCTATTTTGATTACAAGATGTGAATTACAAGTTAAAACTCATGATATTTGAAATCATGTTATTCTATATCAATAAGAAAAAAAATTACATTTTAAAAAACTACATCAAAAATTCTACAAAACAAAAAGTGATAAGAACATTTTATTTTATTAAATAATCAATGTAAACACACAAATAAAAAAATTTATAGATAAATTATAATTATAATCAAAATGGGACAGAGAAAATAGTGGTAGTAAATTTAGTCTTGCTTAATAAATTAAGACTTTGTTATTTCAAACCCTTGGAATGTACCAATGTTGATGACAAGTGTCTCCAATTAAGTTCAAAATCTTGGGTTAATGAACTAATGATCAGAATAATGGCACATTAAGACAAGTTGACTTTACTACAACTATATTCAGTTTTTGGTAGAAGATTTACAAGACTCAACTTATCATTAATTAGGTATTGAGTTACTCCATATTACTCCACCCGTCCCAAAAATAATTCAATTCACACTTTTCCTATTTGAATTTGAATATTTTAAAAGAATTCTACACTTCTAATTTTCCTTAAAAAAATTTCTTAAGATAGTGTTTAGCAACTAGCATTCATTTCAAATCTTGCATTTCAATTTCAAAATTTAAAAAATCTAAACTTCAAATGACAGGAGGAGGTGCACTGATTTTAAATTAAGCTTTGTTATGAATCAAAAGAATTTGACTCTAGTCTAAATTCAAAATTTTTAAGTTTCTCAAACATGAATTTTGATCCAAACCCATGCTTCCAAGTATACGATAAACAAATTTCATTTACATGCGATGAAGTAAATTAAGGGAGGAGGAAGTAACATTATATTTATATAAAAAGAAAATGTATTTTTTCAGCAAATCGAGATCAAAATTTGCAAACCTTAAAAAAAAGTGGTCAAATAAAAAAATTCAATCCGGAGAGAGGGATCAAAGGATTTTAAATTTTTATCTTCGTTACACAGTGAATATTTCATTTTTAAAAGTGGAACGCCAACCCGAGCGATCCACACCCCGACCAGATCGGATAGTGTGAGAAGGATAAATCATGATGTAATCTTAATATAGTTTTTGAAAACCGTCCCATGTTTGATGCGCACAAGGAGCTATTACAAAAAATTGAATTCCCACACTACTGTGGTCGAGATTCAATCTTAGAATTTAGGGATTAAGATCATCTCCTTATACCAGTTGAGTTATCCATGGAAACAATAAATATTTTTATTTCTAATTTTCTATGGTAGAGTGAGAAAGTTACGGGGAATTGAGGGACAAATGTTGAAGGACCATGATAGGGTGCCACCACATGGGTGATACCATGGATGTACCTAGCTTCGCACAGATAAACACAGACGATAATTGTCTGTGCGACACATACAATTATCGTCTGTGTTTGTCTGTGCGAAGCATGGGTAGTGGCACCCTAGCATTTTCGAATGTTGAAACCTAAGAAAGAGTTGGTGTGACGGAGGTAAGGTGGGGGCAGGTAAAAGTAGTCCACTTTTTTGTTGAGGAGTTGCCCAAAGACATTAAATGGTGTTGCAGAAAATGTGTTTTGTTATTGCCAAAAACAATTGAAGGACGGAATTACCCATTCAAAGAAATCGTCGGTCCAAAAGGTGGAATCGCCCACCCCAGGCGCCCCCACCCCTTTGCCCGACAGGAATGGTGGAGGATGTAAATCATGGTGACTCAGTCGGCCAAGAACGCTAGACCCGTGCCCACCGCGCACAAGGAGCCTCCTCACCCTTTATGGGATTTTTGGATAGCTCCCACACTGCCGCTTGCGGGACTCGATCCCTGGTCATCGGTCCAAGATTTCACGCTCTTAAAAAGATTTCACTTTTTAAGAGACGATTTTAAAAAGAAATCGTCTCTTAACAACGTGTTGCCCCAAACAATTACTCTTTTTTCTTATAAATAAACTTCACTTAGATAAAATTTTAACCACGTTCTTAACCTATTTTTGTAACTTATTTGAGAAAATAACATAGTCTTTTTACTTATTGTTTTGTAAAAATTTTTATGTAATTTTTTAAATGTATAAATTTTATTTTTTAATTTCTTATTTATTTTTCAAAGAAACTAATTTGAAAATAATTTCAGTCAAACCTCATAAAGAACAACAAGCGACTCTTTTTTGGAAGGAGAGACTACATTTTAGGTGATATAGATTACTCCGATGGATTAAAATTTCTCACTTACAAAACGTGTACACTATGTTTGGTTCAAGGAATTTGAAATGGAAAAGAAAAGAAAATGAGATGGAAAATAACATTTCGTGTTTGGATAGAGAGGAAAAGAAAAGAAAAGTGAAAGGAAAATGAAATGAGAAGACAAAATATATTAAGAGAAGGGAAAATCAAAATCCTCCCATTTTGGTGAGAAAAATGAGAGAAAACCATTTTCTTTTCTTTTCCTTTCAAATTACTTGAACCAAACATAGTGGTAATGTTGAAATTATTAAGAAAAGAGAATATTTTTATTAGCCACATATTTACTTTTCAATATTTTTCTAAAATTTTGTGAAAGTCAAACACATACTTCCCGTGGATTAAAATTTCTCACTTACAAAATGAGTATTGTTGAAATTATTAAGAAAAGAGAAAATAAATTTTAGCCACATACGGAGTATTTTTTTTTTCTCAAAAAATATCCACCAAAAAATAAAAAGTTTATTTGAAGGCTTTCCAACGAAAAAGCGTAAACTTCACTTGAATTTTGACCCAATTTCAATGGACTGACCCAATTTCAATGTGCCCTCTCGAGTACCAAGCTTACGAAACCAAAAAAATTATTTTTACATCAATATCTAATATGAAAATAATTTTAAAAAATTTCGACTTCTTTATATATATTTTGACTGCAAAAAGTAAAAAGTAAAACCAATATTCTTTATATCTCATTAGTGAGAGACGCCATAAAATTCTATGAATCTCACTTTTGAAAGACGTCATTATATTCAAACTCCCTAAAATCCAAAACACCCCTCCCCAAAAGTAATAAAGATAAAACAACTTAGGGGCTGTTTGTTTCACCCTCTTAATGGTTCAGATGTCTGAATGATTCAGCACTTAATGGTTCAGACTGTTTGTTTCAGCCTCTTAATGGTTCAGATGTCTGAATGGTTAAGAGATTTGCCTCTGAATGGTTAAGTATTATACAGAGTCTGAATGGTTAAGACCTCTTATCTGAATTGATCAGACATTTGCCTCTGAATAGTTAAGCAATATACTAGCTCTTAATGGTTCAGACCTCTTACTGGTTCAGCACTTAATGGTTCAGACCTCTTACTAGTTCAGCACTTACCGATTCAGAAGTTGCCAAACAGCCCCTTAGTCTTCATCCACATGGTTGAAGAGAAGTCTAATTGTCTAAAGTGTGTCTATATCACCCAATAGTTATACTTGGGTACAACAAGATTTATCCAACACTAGTACACTACGTGTCTACGTATAAATCAGATGCATATAGACAATAATTATTTGTGCATCGTACAAACAACTACTCCCTCTGTCCCTAAATAAACTTTCGTTTTTGATTTTTTGAGGATTTAAGGAAGAGGTATTTTTGTGTTGACTTTCCAAAAATACTCTTGATGTGATGTGTAAAAGTAAGATGTGATATGTAGATTATTAGTAAAAAGATATGATGTGATAGGTAGTGTATGAAAAAGTAAGGGGTAAAAGGGGTTTTTAAGGGAAAAGAGAAGTTTATTTGGGGACAAAGAAAAAACGAAAAGGGAAGTTTATTTAGGACGGATGGAGTATTATTTTTGTATTTATAGAAAAAGGTACGGTTTACAAGAAGTAAAAGAAATATCTAACCATAATTTATATAGTATTCAGGTTTTACAAATTAAATGAAAAGAAAATAAAAAGATTAGACAATGCTAAAAGTTTGAGAACATGGCTGGTCAGTGGTGGAAGGGTGAAAAAAACCTGTCAGAAAAAAGAAACAAATGTGAACACGATAAGGATAGCAGAGTCTCCAGAGTTGACCTTGAGGTAGTATCGCCCCCTCCCGCACTGTCAACGTGGATGGTCTCCTTTCAAGATAAAATCACTGCATGCAATGTCTAGAGTGATAGATACGTGGGGGAATCACTCGCCAAAAGTTGGCCAGGGAAGACACTTGAAAAAAGAGAGAGAATAGGAATGTGTGCGAAGTACATCACGCTGCGTTGCGCAGGCAAACATGTAGAAAATAAGAGAGAAAATATTTCTATATATTTAATTGGCTTCTGAATACAAAGATCTAACCCTCTTTATAAAGGAACAGGGTAAAGCAAACAAGGAAATTTATATTCCTACTAAAATAAGAATTAAACAAACGATAAAAGATAAAACTAGGAAAGATACTAAACCTAATTCCAAAGGGATTTCGATTTTCTTCTTAAATCCCGCTTACTTCTTCTATCTCTAACACCCTCCTCAAGCTGAAGCACGGGAGTTCAACATGCCCAGCTTGGGCATAAAAAAAAAGTATAGTCCCCCTTCATGTCTACCCAAACCAATTGTTGTCTTCAATCTTAGGTCCTGAAAGTTTCTTAGAAGTGTATGTAGGAGAGAGCGAAAGAGCATGACGAATGGCATTCCACTGTTCAGGTCGCACGTGCAATTCCTACACGTACAAACTGGGAACTTCTCCAAATCTGCAAGATCGTCCCACAACTTCTTAATCTTCCTATAATATTCCATTATGGTGAGATTCTTCTGTTTGCATTCCGCCAAATCTCGCTTCAAATGCTGAACCCTCGGTCCATTAACCATAGAGAAGCGGGCCTTCGAATCATTCCATAGATCTGAAGCTTTCTCCACAAACGATATGCTGGATCTCATGGTTTGATCAATTGTGTTCCAAATCCAAGAGGCCAACAACGAATGGTTTGTCCACCAATCATCATAATCATCTGAATCAGGATGAGACATCCCAATTGTTCCATCAACAAATCCAAACTTCTTGCGTGCTCGAAGAGCCAACCGTAGAGATTTGGATCATTCGTCATAATTATCTCCCTTCAAAACGACATCAGTTAAAATCATACCCGGATTGTTGCTTGGGGACAAATCATACGGAGGGATGCGACGACGACGCGTTCCAACTTCCTCTTCCTCTCGTTCCTTATTCTTCTTGTTGGAAATAATCTTCATGGGTGTTTCTTTAGACATACCAAATGACACAGGTCAACGATGGAGCGAACAACAACAGCGATCCAGAGTAACTCTCGTCGGGACGGTCGACCCACTCGACCGTTCTTCAGCAATGGTCGATCGTTCCTGCACTCGGCAGTAGAATCGAGCGACGATCGATGGACGCAATGCCGGTCGATCGTGAATAATAGATGCGGAAATCCCCTAGGGTTTGTCTCTATAGAACAACCCTTGTCCGACAACTTCTTCAAGATTGATGGTTGGGCAGGATTCCTCGACAGCAATGTTCTTCATTGAAGGAGTTCATAATATTCTTTTAGTGAGGGAGAACAATCAAAGAAAATAAAAAAATTACAATATCCCGCTGGTAGGCATTGAATTGTGTATGCCCACCAGTAGGGGAAGAAGCGTGTTTGAGGTCTCAAGAATTCAAAACTTGCTCTGATACCATGTAGAAAATAAGAGAGAAAATATTTCTACATATTTAATTGGCTTCTGAATATAAAGATCTAACCCTCTTTATATAGGAAAGAGGTAAAACAAGCAAGGAAATTTCTATTCCTACTAAAATAAAAATTAAACAAACTAGAAAAGATAAAAACTAGGAAAGATACAAAACCTAATCACAAAGGGATTCAGTTTCTTTCTTCAATCTCGCTTCCTTCTTCTATCTCTAACAAAACAACACCAACATGCGTTCTCACGCGAGCATACGTGTCGTGACTTGCCGTGCCGAGCCAGAGAGACGGCGGTGGCGCATGAGCTTCCTTTCCCTCTTCCTCCTCAAAATACTTTTACAATTCAATTAAATGCTAGCATGTGGATTACGAAAGGCTTCAAACCCCCATGTGGTACACATGTATTTTTGCACCATTTACTTTTTTCAATTGGTCCAAAGCACCATTTTTAGCCCTCGATATATCGAAATACTCATCTCACTTGGGAGATTAATCATCCACAATTAATTTGGAAAAATAATTATGGATCCCATCGATAATTATGTCCAAACTTATTTATTATTACCCCAAAAAGTTCCAACATATATGTGTGTGATGCACTCAATGTAAAAATAATGTACAAATCTTGGTGTAGACAAAACTTTATTGATCACACAATATATCTTTTGACTCTTTTTCCTCCTCTTCGTGGACGAAAATAGTCACCCCACGTTAGCTAAAAATTACCACCTACTAAAGGAAGTGAAGAAGACCGCCCAATTTTTCTATGCCTTGTAACATGTGTTGTCAAAATGTAAGGAAATGGTTCCGCTGATACTGCCTTCAGTTGACATTAATTGAGACTACAATTCTTACTATATTCTCTTTAAAAGGAATTAATGGACATGTTCAGCAATAACTTTAGATGTCACTGTTAGCATTTTGAAAATGCTATCAACTAACGGGGTTTTCAAAGTTAATCGGCACCGCTAATCGAAGTCGCTATTCCCAAACGGACCCAATGATTATTACTCTCCAACCCCCTAACCCTTGCCAATGCACATCTTCATGTTCGTTGTTTGAAAATAGTATTTACTGTTGTCAAACGGCAAATTAAACATGAGCGGAGGAGGAAGTAAGGTTTAAAAACGATTGAAACCCAAAATGAAAATTGTCGACCAATGTCAAACAAAGACAGTATCAATGAAATCGAACCCAAAAAGTAATATCCGTCCGGAAATATTTTTCCCGTGTTGACTTGACACGCTTATTAAGAAATGGTAAAAAAAATGCAAAATTTTCAAAAATGCACATACTCTAAACTTTTAAATCTCCTTTTATTTTTTAAAAAAGTAGATTTGTGATAAAATAGAAGGATATTATTGATATTTATCCTTAAAAAGTATACTAAAAAAGGAAATGAGAAGAATATTCATCCAGTTTTGACTTTTAGAACTGTTCATCTAAGCACTTTGACTCATCAAATTCTCTCAATGTGTAAGCCTAAATATAGTCATGTGTGATCTTGTTTGATTTGTCTTAACATATAGATTATTAATATATAATTTCTATAATTTTTTTAATATACAAATTATAAGATAAAATGGATTAAAGAAGTGTATTGGATGGTGTGTAAAAATGAAAGTGAACAAATACTCTGGGACGGAGGTAGTATTAAAAAAGAAGTTGTATTTATACTTTTTCTTATCTTACCTATCACATCATACTTTTTCACTAATAAATTAGCATCAAATTTTACTTTTACCATCACATCAAAAACAAAATTGGAAAGTCAACCACAAATATACACTCCTTATTATTTCTAAAACTCAAAATAAGAACCTTTTTATAAAAGAATGAAATTAAAGTCTAAACACATGTAAAATAAAATAATATTCAAATTTTCAATAGTATTATTAATATTATTAACTCGAATTTATTTATCTAGAAAATGTTTCCAATGTAAAAATGGTAAGAACAAGAGATGAGGAATAACAAAGGGGACCAAAGGGTGCACATTACTCACAAGGCCTTTCCTCCTAACCCTTCTCCTCCCCTGCTCCGTCATCCTCTCCTCATCCCCCCACGCCGCCGCCTCCACTCCTCCGGCGAGCACCACCGGCGGCGGGACGCTGTACGGGCACTTTGACCTCCACGAGTTCTCCGGGCGCTCGGAGCCGGCGGAGAGGTTCCTGAGGAAGAAGGAGAGGGCCCACTTGGGGTGGATGAGGGGCTTGGGGCAGAGGAGTGGCGGGTAGTGCCAGTTGAGGTAGCAGGGGACTTGGGCGGCGATGAAGTACTGTGAGTGGAGCGGCGGCGGCGACGGTGCGGGGCTGGTTATGATGTGGGTTAGGGCATGGAGTCTTTGCTCCCAATTCGTGTCCTCCATTAATGGATTCTTCTTTCTTTCTTTCTTTTTCTCCTTTTTATTTTAATTTTTTGTGTGGCTGAGAAGAGAGATCTAGACTTCAGATAGTGATAAAGCAAGGGGTCTTGTGCGAAACACTTTTTTTTTTCTTCCTTTTTTTTAACTAAAATTATTTTTTCAAATTAATATATTCAAAAATTAGTGTATAATTTTCAAAAAAACATGGAGTATATACTTAAAAAACTACAGCACAAATATTACTCCCTCTCTTCCCAGAGCACTATTCCAACTTCACGAGAATTTATTTTTATTTGTGTTTTTTCATGGCCTATATGATAAAATAAAATATTTTTGTCACCACTTATTTTGTTGAACTTTTGATGTAGTTTTTAAATATGTATGTTTTATTTTTTATTTCTATACCAATATTTAAATAAAATAAATTGAAAAAGTTTGGGATTTTTTTTCGTTTTGCGCAATGAGAAGAAAGTTTTAGGACGGAAGGAGTACAAAATACAAGATGGTATAACTATCCAAATAAGTATCAAAATAAACAAGAAATGAGTAAAATTTGACTTTATAAACAATAAATAATACTCCCTCCATCTTACATGTATATTTTCATTATGTGGTACGAGATTTGATTAAATTTAATTTATTGATTATAGGTGTAGAATTTAAAAGTAATTTTTATATAGTACTTCCTCCGTCTCAATTAATAGTGCATGTTCATTATTAATAGGGTCAAATTTATTTACTTTATTTCTCTATTTTTGTTTGCAATTTGATAATATAAAGTACTATTGTAACTACTAATTTTGTAGATCTTTTGATGTAGTATTTTAATACGTAATTTTTTATTTTTTAACTCTATAACATTTGTCATATAAAATGATTTGAAAATAATTTTAGTCAAGCATCGTAAACAGAAACATGCACTATAAATTGGGACGGAGAGAGTATAATGCTACATAATTTAAACAATTTATTTTATGAAATAAGTAATAAAAATAAATAAATAAAATGAGTTAAATTTAACCATGTGAATAATGTCAGAGAGGAATAAAAAGAGCAATGCAAATTGGGATAAAGGAAGTATTTACTAAATTATACTCCATCAGCCACTAATTATCTTCACATTTTAAATTATGATGTTTGATTAAATTTATTTTTTAGTTTAATTTTTTGTTGAATATGGTTTCAAATTTTAGAAACAAAATTTAAACATTAAAAAACTACATAAAACTTCTATATAACAAAAATGATATAACTATAATATTTCACCAGAAAATCAATAAAAATTGCACACTCCATATTAAAGAAAGTGAATATTATATAACTTTAGAAATATTAGGTGAGAAGATTAAAAAGAAACAAAGAGAGTTGTAATCTTATCGATTAAAACTCAATTTATACTCGAGAGCATTAGTGAAGCTGTGCTTCACTAGTGTATATTATTTCAACAAAAGATTATCGAAATTAGGTACTTGCAAAAAAAAGAAGTTAAAGTTTGACGGGTTAATACGGTAGGGCTCAAGATCGACGGCCCATTGGGCTCCACTATAGTAGTTTCTGACCCAATGGGCCGATCAGCTACCCCATCATTCACCTTTCACACCTTGCCTAGTTTCTATACCCTCAAGTCCTCAACTTCACTAGCACCACCCAATCATCTACAGAACTTAAAAGACTCCCAGCAAATTAGTGCTAACCCTTCACCATTATTCATTACAATAGTTTCTTCAACACTACTAGATCAAATGCATTTACAAGAGATTTATCTCTAAGGTCCCATACTATAAAAAAAACCAGAAAAAGAAATGAATGAAAGGGAAACATATCAAACAAGAACCCAAACTATATGAATTAAAATGCAGCTAGAAATTCATGATCTTGGCTCTATACAATGGCAGCCAGCATACTAACTCACAGAGTGTTCAAGTGCTCCTCACCTTGGTGGAATCCCATGGAGTTGGACCCTTCTGCCCCCCTTCACGAACGCTACACTGAGGGGTCTGGTGGTCAGCTCGACAGGGGCAAATTTGGCAACCCAATCCATTCCAAGAACCATGTCACAACCACCCATCCTCAGTAGCCTCATGTCCATCTCAAAGGGTTCTCCTTCAACAGTCCATTTGAACTTGGGGCAGGCAAAGTTACAGCTCAGTTCAGTTCCATTAGCCACAATCACATTGAGTGGCTCAGTCTCTACGAAATTCAGATTCAGATCCTTCACAATTTCGGGGTCCAAGAAACTGTGTGTGCTCCCACTGTCTATCAGAATAACCATTGATTTGTCGCTAACATTCCCCACTAATCTTATGGTGTTATGGCCCATAGCCACCGGAGCCTCCACTTCAGACACTTGTTCAGTTTCTTCAATCCCAGATACAGCATTCAGAGTTCCCTTGCACTTGTGACCATTCTGCCATTTCTGCTTGCAGTAGGAACAGAGCTTCAGATCTTTAACCATTGGCAGCTCTTCCTTTTTACAATTCAAGAACCCATCATGTTCCTGATTCTTGGCACATTCTCGGCAGAGCTTTCCTCCTCCCTCTACGATCGTGTTTGAAGGGTACAGTCTCCTGCGCATTTCATCGAACACATACCCTGCAAACGGATTCTTGATCTGACCCTTCTCACAGAATCCCAAAGAATCTATCTCAGAATCATCAGCCTTCTGATCATACATTTCCCAGAAACCGCCGCACCTCTTGACACACCCCACGGGGCTGTGTTCATCAAAATCAAGAAATTTGATCTCGGGGTCGTGGGTTTTAGGCTGGCATTGTGGGATCAGGCCAGAAACATGCCCTTCAAATGTATCCCCAGAGAGAATTAAAGAAGGGTGTGAGAGAAGAAGAAGATGCGGGCGACCCTTCCCTGTAAGTTGGGCGCGAGCGGTTCTCGTTTCCATTTTCACTTGCAGATTGTGGGGGGTGTTCATCAATGAAATGAAACGGGGAAGAGAGAGTTTTCGGTTGTAAAGAAAGAAACTTAAAGAAGATGATAAAAATACCGGTAAAGTGATAACGGCTAAAATATTTTTACTTCTTCGCCCCTAAATATAATGGGGACTATATCCACACTTTTTCTTATATTTACTAAATCCACACCAATTAGTATAAATTTAATATTGGCGTGGATTTAGTCAATTTAATTGAAAGGAGTTGATATAATCATTTTTGGAATGGATGTATGAACTCTCTCAAAAATTTACAGGTATAATTTTTATTTATTTACGAGTATGTGTTTCATTGATCATTTAATAAAATAATACATCATTTAGTCATGTCATTTTTTTTAAAAATTTTGATGTATTTTTAAATATTTAATTTTTAAAATTTTTTTCAATTCTATTACAATACTCGCATATACTTTCTCAATATATTGAAGCATAAAAAGTCAACGTCCTGAATTTGAGTGAGCTTCTCATCTAGAATCCTTGGGGTGCTTCTCATACCACCTAAGCTAAAGAAGAAGCTCAATTTTTTATACCATTTTTCAAATAAAATAAATTTAATGCATCTCTATTTTACTTAGTTACTATCCTTTTGAATTTTCTTAGGGGACGAAGGAAGTAGATGAAAAAATTTATGAGTTGCATGTTCATTACTAAAAAGGAACAAAATACGGAGTAAGTGGGAATATTATTTGAGTTGTTCAACAAGAAAAAATAACTACAGTATTTTGAGATGAAAAAATGAGTACAACATTTTATGATCAAATATTCATGAAATTCAATCCCACGTTCCTTATTTCATCAAAAATATAGAAACCCGAAAATTACTAACAAAAAGTTAAAATATTTATAAACTTATTATTTGTGAATTTAAACTTTTTCCTGTACTGCAATTTTGTGTTTGTATGTGCCATTTTCTCTTTTTAGAAGGATTTAAAAATACCCAGAGTAAGAAATCTGAATGTTGTAATTTTTTTTGTTTGTGTCTCTAGCATTTCTCTTAAAAATAATGTTTAGTCACGTTGGTACATCCTTTTTGCTAGATGTCTCATTTCATATTAAATGTTTGTTTTATTTTTTGTGTCTAATTTTTGTTAATAATATCCTAATAATATCCTCCCTGCCTCAATGTATCCGTGGAATTTGACTTTTAGAACAATGTTTATGAAGTTCAATTCAAATACAAGTATGAAATTTTTTCAAAAAATAAAAAGTTTGTTAAAATCCACATTTGAATGATAATATGAAAGTCAATTCATAGCACCCCAAAGCATTGCTCAGCTGGCAAAGACCTTGAGTGATTTAAGATTTGCTAAATTGGCAACTCAGTTTGAAACCTAACACAAGATGTGGATTTGGCTCCCTCATTCATGCTCAATATAGTCTAGTTTTAAAATCACATTTATTTCCGAATAATTTTGCCTTCACACTTATTAAGGCAAAATTAATAATGGTAGTTATACACTTATACCGAATAAGAAAATGGAACTTTTATTTTGGGACGCCAAATTTGAAAGGTGAGATTTTAGTTTTGGGATGGAGGGAGTATTAACTCGAGGGCAATGGTGGAAAAGCAAATATAAAATATGTATTTGGTAACATAAAAAGTACACTACAAATTATACGTAGTAATCAAGATCATCCTATGGTACCCTATAAATATGGACCGAGTGGAACAAATTTTTTTAAAAAAATGAACAAGAGAACACCCTTACTCTTACATAACAAGAACCACTATGTTTTTAACCTTAAAATTGCAGACTCAGTTTCTAATCTCACCTTGGGATGACAAGAAACCTTATTACTGTGCTTGTAACATCTGCCAGCAACAACCACCAGGTCATGCTACCACAGTCATACCACGACACATGACACCACCAGAGACAACCACGCAGACAGTCATTGTCGATAAGAGTGACATTGTCTGTGGTGGTGTCAACCTTGGTGTCATCTGTCGTGGTATGACTGTGGTAGCATGACCCTTCTGCAAAAGTGGTCAATATGGGCATTTGCACGGTTCGATTCCCCATGTCTCCTCGGCATATTCTTTAATGGTTCTATCACTACTGAACTTGGCAGATCCGGCGGTGCTCAGTATGCTCATCCTTGTCCACTTCTCCTCATCAACAAATGCTCTATCGGCAGCACCCTATATATATATATATGCATAGAGTACACATATTCATGTTGTCATGTTTCAATCCAACTATTACAGGACCTACCTAGGCTCTAGGCCCCATTTGCAATATGTCTAATCGCTGATTGAGGTCTTGTTCTTTTGGGTTGAAAAAATTAACTTCCAACGCCTTCCAAGTTCCAACTCATTCTAGTTTCTTCCAACAACTTAATAAAGGTATTTATATATGATGGCTATACAATAACATTATATATCCAAATTTATAACATACCTCCTTAAACATGCACAAGGATGAATCCTTTTTTATCCAAAATTAGAGTTTTCTTACATATTTATTTGGGTGTTAATTTAATTGAGTGACCTTTTGATTTAACACTTTAATTCTTTCAACATTTTCCAACTCCTAACTTTTTCCAACTCCTAGTTTCTTCCAACTCCTTCGAATTTCTTCCAACATCCAACTATGAAATTTCAACTCAAAAGAACAAAGCCTGAATGGGAATAAAGTGGAATTAATGGGGAAAATTTATGTTACCTGTGCTTCTAAGTAACTCACAAAATCGTTACCAAGGAGATAAAAATCTTTGCCATCTTCCAGAGTATCACATAATGATTTGAAATAGTCTTTATGGCCAAAATAACCATCCCGAACCATCCTAGAAACACGGGTGGAAATTTATGAACAGATTGATGGTGTGTTGTTACTTAGAGGTTAGAATGCAAAATATACCTGACAACCCGTGCAAATTGAAGTGGAGCTTTGAGTGCAGATCCTTTTTCTCTCAAGGTCTGAACCTCGTCAACTTTCGCACCGAATAGAAACTGAACACACCCACAAAGAGGAAAGATAATGAGAAAAATTCACATTGTGATCTTAAACATGGAACTATTAGGAACCAATTCAACCAGAAGCTCAAACTTGTGGACGTTGTAGGCCCATGAAAGGTTTTCAATTCTAGAGCGCCCTCCCGTGTAGATGAGATTTGTTTTTGCTCGGGCTTTGCACGTGAACATTATTATTATTATTCTTAACTTGGTGGTCGTGAAGTTTGAACCTGTGACCTCTAGGTCAACAAGGCTTTGATATCATGTCAATAAACCAACTCAACCAAAAGCTCAAGTTTTTTGTTCTAAGCCGGGGAAAGGTTCTACTCCGTATATTCTAACACGAACAAACTTAAAATTTGTGTTCGAAACTTTGAATTCCTATGGAATATGTCAGAACATTGATCTGAATGTATATTGTTCATTGAAACGTATATGCAGTTTGGCCACAGTATGGAAAATGTACAAGGACCTGCCACAAGATACTAACCATGTTATCTGCTCCTATTTCTTGAGCAATTTCGACCGTTGAGCCATCAGCTGTAGCTAACAATAAACATCCGTTCATTAAAAATTTCATACTGCCAGTTCCGGATGCCTCATGACCAGCGGTGCTGCATTAAGATTCAGGTTTATATATTTGAACAGTTATCTGCGTAAGGCCGATGGCAGGAAAAAAAGTAGGCATGATTAAGCAGGGTCAACTCAGGGAAAAAGTAAGCGATCAAGGGGCTCCTAATGCCTAGGCTAGTGGTCTAGACAATGATTTTTAGAACATAGGCAACATTTGTTGAGCTGTAAATGAGTGTCTTATGCTAATTTAAATTGAAAATATATTTGATCACATTCCATTCCATGATGCCAAGTGAACTGTCACGATAGTTTCATCACTTGGGAGGTCTGGGGCAATGTGAGCAGAAAAGTGAAAGAAGAAATGGCATCCAGACCTGTTCTCTACTTCTAAACACACAACACCAACCTTATGTGCTGCGAAAGATCACTGCCAGGAATAACTAACTCAGCCACAGTCACATTGTAATCTGGGATAAAAACCTATGACAGTAGAGAATATGTTAAATGTCTTCCAAGCAACACTTATGCATAGATAGAGATACTTAAAACACCAAAACTATTCCTTACCAGTTTCAGGTGGTCTCCGACATCAGGATCATTGTTAATTTTTTCTGCCACTGCATGGCAAAGTTTGATAATCTTTTTTGCAATTTCATAACCAGGTGCAGCTTTCCCTCCTATTATGCATACACGAGGTACAACTCTCCGTCTTTCACTCTCCTTCATATTCTTCAATTATCAAAGCGAGCAATATATCAAGAACCAACCATGAAGTAATGGTATATGCAATTTCTCCTTTACGCACTTGGAGTGTATTTTAAAATTAGCAGCAATCTGCTGCTTTCTTATATAAACATGAAGTGTCTTTTGCTGTTAAAAGCATTTTTTTCTATTTTCCTTTTAAAGGCTTGTTTTTTAAAGTAAAAACACTCTTCCTCTAAAAAGCATGATTCCTTTAAAATAAGTCATCACAAACGCGCACTAACTGAAATTATAGTTGTTTGGAGATAAGATACAAACCACCCCATCAGGTGACATTAAAATTAAGAGTTCCGTTGATAACATGTGCGACTACAGTTAATATCAACATGGTGTGTCCTATACAAGTGTGATCTGATGGTACCATTGGACATCTTTGATTTGAATAAAAGGGAGATTATATACCTTAATACAATCATATCTATGTATGATGCCTAGTATATTCAGCAGTTGCCTCTTGAATTCATGTATACGTTTTACTTGAACGTCAAACATTGCCTCTAAGCTGACCTGCAACAGCAGGTAAAGAGCAATATTTTTATAGAGAGAATACACCATAAGCCTGAAGCAACAATTGACAAAAGATCAATATCGTAATTTGTAAAAATCAGCATTAGCCCCCCNTTTGAATAAAAGGGAGATTATATACCTTAATACAATCATATCTATGTATGATGCCTAGTATATTCAGCAGTTGCCTCTTGAATTCATGTATACGTTTTACTTGAACGTCAAACATTGCCTCTAAGCTGACCTGCAACAGCAGGTAAAGAGCAATATTTTTATAGAGAGAATACACCATAAGCCTGAAGCAACAATTGACAAAAGATCAATATCGTAATTTGTAAAAATCAGCATTAGCCCCCCACCCACCCACCCATCCCCAGATTGTTTTCATTTAGGCATACTAGGTACCAGCTGGGTGCTAGAAGTTTTCTGGAACACTGCAAAATGGTATTTAGCATTTGGTTCACGGATCATGAGTTTACCTTACGTTTAACATAATAGGGTAATTTATGCAAGGGAATGTAAGATTAACATTTAACATGAATATGTGATCACCTTTTACTTGTCTAGTTCACAAAATGTGATACTACGGGTACTACTTATGTTGTCAAATTTCCAAGGACAAACTCAGAATAGTTTCAAAAATTAGGTATGTAATTTTACAATACCTAACAAAAAATGGAGATAAACACAATTCCCATCTTTTACTTCAAAATCCATACAAGCAATGGTGCATTACCAAGGTAGTAGATACCAAACAAGGTTATGCTACATTACCTTGGTAATGTCACATTCCGTGAACCAAACACCTAAAGCCAAGAAATTGTATGTTTCCAAACCTTCACTCCACTAATTGTCTCAATGTAATCAGCAAGCCTCATCTTGTTAACCTTCTTCATCTACAAATCAACATTGAGTGTGAGAGAATAGCAGTTGATTTTCAGATTAGCACAACCATAAAGCAGAGTTTTCTTGTACCATCTTCCATTCTTTATGGAGGGCAGGATCAGAAACATAATCTCGTAAGCCTGCTATGATGTCAACATTATTGATCCAAGCTTCTGTTCCAAGCCATTTTGAAATAATTGAACACAAGCTTGGATTACTCACCACAATCCAGCGTCGCTGACAAGTAACAACTTGTAAGCTTATATTTCTAAACTGTACTAGAACTTGTAAAAGATACTAAACTTAAACATATTTTTTGTCAAATCTAATGAAGAAAGAAACAATTTATGTTAAAAAAAGGGAATAAAGGAATTAGAACTGAAATATAAATGATCATTCATGCCCTACAGAACAATGTTAATATGTTATGG